TAGGAGGGCTCTTCCCCCAGGCAAAAAACACCGGTCTAGTTTCTCTTTATACTCTAAACAGAAATCTTGCCTCCCAGTTTGGTGGGGTACTGCCCAACCTAGTTAAGGAGCATATGTCTTGGGGGCTATCTCTTAAGTAATCTCATCACACAGTCATGGCTTTTAGAGAGACTGAATGCCCTGTTTAGGAGTGAGAGAAATGATTATTTCTCCCTCATGTTAATAATCAATTATTAAATTAGGACCAGGATTTTTTCAGAAGCCTAGGTTGTTCAGTCTCTGAAGGACATTGCTGATAATGAGATTGAATTAACTTTCTCCTCAGTCTTTTTCAGACCCCACCCAATCTTACTAGAAATTTAATCCAAGGTGGGGAAGCCCACAATGCTCTACCCAGGTTTGGGTAGAGATAAATTCTTTGATTTAAATTGTTCAAGGTTGGGCAATTTAGAAGTAAATGACATAATTCAAGTTATATTCTCCCAGCCCCTTATTAGAATAGGTTCACCTCGGTTACAATATTCACTGTCTCTCATTAATTGTTAACCAAGCGGAGTTGATTGCCTGAGTAACATCCACTCTTCCAAGGGCACATAAACTCTGAACCTACTGCCATGATTTGTCTCTGGCATTCCAGAGAGTCACTGTCTCTTTTTATTGGTAGTATGCTGGTATTATAAATAAAATAATTAAATACTCAGAAACTATGTCTCTTGAACTTTTAAAATGTCACAGGAGTTGGGCCTTAACAGAAATAAAAGAAAAAGGTGGATTACAAATTAGTAATTAGTTATTAATATAATAGTGTAATATTAATTTCTCTCAATAGTCTGAGGACCTCTTTTTTGGGAGGCTTCCACCCCCTGCATTAGCCCAAAGAGCCCAGTCCTGGTCCCTACTTTAGGCCTTTCACCAGAGCACACTCACCTCACTTGTAGTCTGGCCCCTGCTGCATGCTTGCCCAATGGGACTAACTGGGCACAGGAATCCAGGAGGCCAAATGCAATCTACCTACTCAGGAGTTGTGAGTAAGGAACTCCTGTTTCTAGATCTCCTAGTGTCCAGTCTGTCCTTCCAATCTGTACTCCTACTGAACACTCTCTCAAGGGCTAATCTTTTCTGAAGCATCCACCTGATGCCCTCCCAGGGACCACCCACAATTTGCTGCCTTATTACTAAGGGCCAAGCTTTTCAGTACTGGGTCAGTATATGTGGCTTGCTAGAAAGAACCAATTCAAATGTGTCCAAGTTTGTTTCATGTTATGTACTGGTGAATACTATTCTTTTTTCTCCCTGGACCCTGTGCCTCCCTCATATACCTGTTCTGTTTCTAACGTTAAATTTTTCCCTTGGTTTCTGTTGGTCAGAACCAATGAGGTGGTGGTGGTGGTGGGGCTGGGGAAGTCTCCTGATGATATCAATTACATGTATTTATACACACAATGGTGGTGATGGTATGGAATAGGGAATGAAGGCACAAAAAGCATGTATGTATGCATGTATACACACATATGCATACATGTGGATATACATTGTATGTATATGCTCCAAGATGTCTTGAACCTCAAAGGAGGAGAGATTTCTGAGTGATAATGGTAGAAGAAAGATCCAAAAGTGGCACTGGGGAGCAAAGAATATTCCAAATAGTAATCTGGGAAAGAAGGAAGGAAACAAGCATTTTAAAATTTTTTTCCTTTTTGCTGAGGCAATCAGGGTTAAATGACTCACCCGGGGTCACACAGCTAGTAAGTGTCTTGAGGCCGGATTTGAACTCGGGTCCTCCTGACTCCAAGGTGGAGCTCTATCCATTGTGCCACCTAGCTGCCCTACAAACATTTATTAAATGCCTACTATGTACCAGGTACCTTGCTAAATGCTTTACAAATATTATCTCATTTGTTTGTCGAAACAATCCTGGGAGGTAGGCACTACTATTATCCTCATTTTATAGATGAGGAAACTGAGGCAAATAGAGGTTAAATGACTAGCTCAAGGTTACATAACTAATATAGTGTCTAAGATAGAATTTAAACTCAGGTCTTCCTTACCCCAGGCCCAGGACTTTATTTATTGCACTACCCAGTTGGAGGTATGATGGACAACATAGCCAGCACTAAGAGGATACATGATGGAAGGAATGTCGTTATGAGGAATGTCAGTGCCAGACGACAGAAGGAGTGAGAAAGGAAGAGGTTTAACACAAAAGGAAATTTGTTAATTATGGAGCAAGCATTCCAGAGAGTACAGTAGAACAGAACTGATAATCTGGAGCAGGATACTGTAAGGGTGGGGCTGAATAGGATGGGAATAAGGCTTGTAGTGTGTGTGTGCATATATACATGCGTGTGTATATATGTGTTCATGTATATATGTAAGTTTACATATGTCTACATATCTAAATATAGATATGTGTGGTATGTATCCATACATATGTATGAAAATAACATGGTTTTACTGCCTTAGAGATATTTCTTAACCAATGGGCAGTTGGGGATGGGGAACAGAGTTTGTACATTAGTAACCATAGGTTCAGAATCACTGCAATAGTGAAAGTTTGAAGGGATGGTAGTATTCTAACCTATGAGAAATGAGTCCAAGAAGAATAGTAGTGATTGGAGTAAGGTCCATTTGGGGAAGTAGGTTCAGTATCCTTCTAGGCATGGGTGGAGCTCTGGGCCTGGAGTCAGGAAGACCTGAGTTCAAATCCCACCTTAGACACTTTCAAGCTGTGTGACTATGGGTAAGTCACTTAATGTCTCTGTTTGCTTCAGTTCCCTCAACTATAAAACGGGAGTGATAACAGCACTTACTTCTAGGGGCTATTGTGAGGATTCAAATGAGATATGTGTTAAGTGCTTAGCAAAGCACTTGGGACTTAGAAGGTGCTTAATAAATATTTACTCTTCCTCCTCTTCTTCCTACTCCTCCTTGTAGGTCCCCTCTCATGGTAGGTGGTGATGTGTCCTGTGAGGGTCCAAGGAAGCTAGACCCACAGTAGGCACAAGTAGGTGCAGGTAAGCTCTGTGAATCTAGAAGCCCATTTAGGAAAGAGGAAATAGTGGTGGAGGAAGAGGAGGCAGAAGAAAAGCAGGTGTTGGAGGAGGGAGAGGCAGAAGAGGAGGAGATGATAGTGGAGGAGGGGTGGTGGTGGTGAAGGAGGTGACAGTGAAGTGATGGTGGAGGAGGAGGTGGGGGAGGGATGAAGAAGAAGCTGGGGGGATGGGGGAGGGGAGAGGAAGGAAGGAGGTAAGCCTTACTGAAGAAGTCCCTGCAGGAAGGAGTAGATGCAGGTGGGTAGCTGGTTCAGGTCCCTTGGGTAGTTAACAACTAGAGAAGTCTTTGGGTACCAACAACTTGTTTTCTTACTTGTAAAATAAGGAGGTTGACTCCCTGTTCTCTAAACTCTTACTCTCAAGATCTCCTCACGCTGAGGGCAGCAGAAATCACAGCCCTAAAAAACAAAACCAAAGTCAATTACTCTGACCAAGGCCTCCTCCCCCCCTCTCCACGTCAGGCTTCCCACCACATCTGTAAAATCTAGTGAGGAGTCTCAAGTAGTCTTAAGAGCAAATGAGATCTTTTTGCCTTACTAAGCCAGGTTCTTGGGTGAGGGATTATGAATTTAATTTGTCTGTGATCATTTTCTTTTCAATTCATCCTAGATTTATCAAGCATGTAGGTGAAATGCTGGACTTTGGGGGTGCAAAGATAAAACGACCCTTGCTCTCTGGGAGTTTACATTCCAGTGGGTTTGGGCGGGGCAATAATGGATCAGAGACTGTGCAGTGCAGATAGTTAAAAAAAAAGCTATTTAAGGACTTTAGTGAATGGGGATGGGGATGGAGAAAAGTTTATTTTTGGAGTGGCACATTTTGCAACGGCCCTATTAGTTTGTTTGTTCTGGTGGTGCGACTTTACTCATCTTAGATCTCTCTCCCCCGCCCCCCCTTCCTCCTTTCTTCTTCCCCTCTTCTTTCTTTAATTCTTCTTTCTCTTTCTTTTTTTTTCTTTTTATTGCCAACTTTTTTTTACATCATTAAATTTCTCCTGGTATCCCTCTCCCTAGCCTTCCCAGAGGGCCATCCATATAACAAATATATTTAAAGTGGGGAGGGAGATGAAGAATAAAAAAAAAAACAAACTTAAAATCAATCGTAGAAGTGAGTATATATGCAATGCTCCGCACCCGTGGACCGCTCCCCGTCTGAAAAGGAATAGGGTGGGGTATATTGTCTTCCCATATTAAAGACATTTCCTAATCAACCACTGCCCACTGGAGTTATCAGTTCTGAACCAGCTCTGGGGCTCTCCTAGGTGATTTCCAAGTTGACATTTCCTTGTTTTGAACTTTACCGTAGCCTCACTTAAGGATCAGAAAATTGTGTTCTGGTCCTTTAAATTTTTTTTTTTTTAGGGAGATGGGGAGGGGAAATGACTCATTCAGTTTCTATTGTAAAGAATTCGTTTACCTCCTTTTCGTTGATTTTTTTTTTCTTGAGAATCTTTTCCTTAGGGTCCCGGTGGAGCTCCCGCCACGGGACAGCTTCCGAAGCAAGCAGTGTGCCCAGAGCTCAGCCAAGATCCCAATCGGGATCTTGCCCAGGCTGGTGACTTGACTTAACTTTGAAAGAGTGGAGCCGTGAAAGATAGAGAGGCTGCACCTCCCCCCCCCCCCGCCCCGAACACGGAAGGCGCTTCCGTAGGTGAGTTGCCACAGTCCAAGGGAGAAAGAAGGGGGAAAAACCCAACCTCTTAATTTTTCACGAAGTAGAACCAGGATTTAAGTGACTTCTACTGTGGCAGGAACTGTTCCAAGTGCTAAGCCAAAAAACAGTTCCGGCTCTCAAAAAAGTTCTGCCTCGCGAGGGAGGTAGCATGCAAAATATACGAGTTACATAGAGGCTAAATTGGAGATAGCGTCAGCGGGAAGACGCTAGCATGAAGGAGGACCTTTGTAGAAAGTGGAATTTTAGCTGGAGCTCGAATGCAGGGAAGTACGGAGATGGAGTTGGGGAGGGAGAGACTTGCATGAATGGAGGACAACTAGTGAAAATGCCTTAAGTTCACAGATGGAGTATTGTGTGTGTTTGTTGTCTGTCCTTGTTCTCGAAGAGGACCAAGGGCATCGGGAAAGTGACCTCTTGACTTGCAAGTGAATTGGATTTAAGTGAGGGAAGGACTGTGCAAAGTCACCAGTCTCTTTCAGAGACATCTGGGTCCGATGACATGCTATAGATCAGAACTACTTGAGATGGCCAGAGATGCAACAGGAGTGGATTGAAGAGTAAAGCGAGGACAGGAGACGGTTACTAAGTGGTAAGAAAACTGGAAAGGTGAAAGAATAAGTGGAGGGGACTGAGGTGGAAAAAGACTGGAAAAGTCGGAGAGGACCCAGATTATGGAGGGCAATTGGATGTGAGGCAGGTGGTCAGGAGAGAGATTAGGGCTGGATAAATAGATATAGGAATCTTCAGCTTAGTAAAGATCTTGGAATCCATGGAAGCTGATAACATCACCAATTGAAAGTGTGGACGGAGAAAAGAAGTCAAGAAGGATGAAGGCTGAGAAAATGGCATTAGATTTGCTTTTTAAGGGATCATTGGTAAATCTGGAGGAAGCAGTTTCAGTTGAATAAGCCAGATTTTAGAGTTTGGAGAGTGAGAGAAACGAAAGTGAAGGTATTGATAGTCAGTAAAATGTTTATCAAGGGCCTACTATGGGTCAGGCATTGTGCCAAGCAATGGAAAAGAATTCCTGCTTCTCAAAGAGCTCACAATCTAAAGGTGGAAGACATGTAAAAGGAGAGGGAAGATATGAGGTGTTGGGTGCAAAAAATGTCTGGGAGATTCAAGAGTGACACTTGGAATGGTCCCTTGGAATAGAATGAATACGTGACAGCCCGGGCAACCTCCTTAAGATGGAGGTTCTGGGTGGTGCCTAGGGAGAGGGAGATGTCAAGGAGTCAGAGGGTTCTACTTTCAGTGTGAAGTCGGGGAGTGGCGTGAGCTTTCACAGTGAAGAGACGTTGTAGACAATGGTAGACAAGTTCTTAGGCATTGTAGGAAAAGTTGAGGAGACTCAGGAGGAAGACCAGAGAGGAAGGGGTTTTGAGGAAGGGCTGTGTTTGTTCTTACTAGTGTGTTTATAGGCAGTAGAGGGGGAAAAAAACTAGTAGGTGGAGAGAAAATGAAGATTAGTGGGAGCAGAAGTGACAGAGGAGTGATCTGCAGGAGAAGACAGGATGGAATGAGATCACTTTGTGTTGACTTGGCAAATAGAAGGGCCACATCATGTGAGACAGTGGTGAATGAGGAAATAGTGGTGCAAGGCATCTGAGTGATATGAGATGAGGAGGGAAGAAGAGGGAGCTCTCTGTGAATGGCCTCAATCTTTTTCAATGAAATAGGAGGCAAAGTCCTTGGCTGAGAAGGTTGGAGGAAGGGAAGCAATGGGAGGATTGAAGAGAGATGAAGGGAATGATAGAAAACGATGATGAGCTTATTAGAAGAAATGTTTATTCCAATACTTTAAGGATAAATAATTTCCTTGATGAGAGGACCCCCTCCACCAATGCTGATCACAACCTATCTACCAGTTACCAATAGGTCTTACCAAAGAGCTATTGTCACTAATAGTCACAAGCAAACCAGACTTCAGCTTAGGAAGGTTGATCTAAAGGAAGGATTAAAAGGAAGAGAAGAAAGGCAGCATGCAGGGATGGGGAACCTTTGGCCTCCAGGCCACATGTGGCCTTCTAGGTCCTTGGAGGCAGCCTTTTGACTGAGTCCAAGTTTTACAGAACAAATCCTTTTATTAAGGGGATTCATACTGTGAAGTTTGGATTCAGTCAAAGGACCACACTTGAGAACCTAGAGGGCCACATGTGGCCTAAAGGCCACAGGTTCCCCACCCCTGAGTGGACAATGCACTGGACCTGGAGTCAAAAAGAACTGGGCTCAAATCTCAGATACCTATAAGTTGTGTGACTTGCTCATTTTCTTGGGACTTAGTGGCCTGGAAGATCTCATCTACTTCTCGAAATCCATCATTCGGGACAGCTAGGTGGTGCAGTATATAGAGCACAGGCCTTGGAGTCAGGAGGACCTGAGTTCAAATCCGGCCTCAGACACATAACACTCACTAGCTGTGTGACTTTGGACAAGTCACTTATCCCCAGTTGCCTCACCAAAAAAAAAAAATCTATCATTCTATGAAAGTGAAAGAACCAATGAGTGGATCTGCATAAAGCATCAAAGTACTGTAGGCACTTACGAAATACATGTGTCAGTCTGCCAGAAACAGTTTTTAAGGAAACAAAAAATTATTGATCTGTATCCAAACCCTTTCTAGCATGGAGAGGGATGTTGAAACTAGCATAGTCCCCATGCACTCTGACATGAATCTGCCCCCAAAAAGATTACTAGTAACTTGTATACCTAGGGAATCTTGACCAAGGGAAAGATAGCTTGTGTTGAAATTCCATCCTATTCTCTGAGTAACACTGATTAATATCCATTGATTTAAAAATATTTATTAATTCATTCATTTAAAGATAACAAATCATTACATGTTAACATAAATAATATTTTAATGAAATTAGCTATTTTCCAAAACAAAAAAAAATTAATGATCAGAATGGCATTGTTTTGCATAGTTTTGTGAATCTCTTTAATATATGTCTTAATGAAGTATAGCTGAATTCTCATATCTGGAGTTAATATTCCATCTGGTCTTGGGGACTTTTCCTTAGGGAGCTCAATGATGGCTTGATCAATTTCTTTTTCTAAAATACATTTTTTAAAGTATTTTATTTCCTCTTCTGTTAATCTGGGCAATTGCTATTTTTGTAATTATTCATCCATTTCACTTAGATTGTCAGATTTTTTGGCATATAATTGGGCAGAATGGCTCCTAATAATTGCTTAATTTTGTCTTCATTGGTGGTGCATTCACTATTTTCATTTTTGATACTGGGAATTTGGTTTTCTTCTTTCTTTTTTAAAATAAAATTCATCAATTATTTATCTATTTTATTGTTGTTTTTTTTTTTATAAAACCAGCTCCTAGCTTTATTTATTACTTCAGTAGTTTTCTTACTTTCAACTTTAGGATTTCCAATTTGGTGCTTAATTAGGGTTTTAAAATTTGTTGTCTTCTTACCTTTTTTAATTACATGCTCAACTCATTGATCTGCTCTTTCTCTGCTTTATTGATGTAAGCGTTTAGAGATAAAAAAAAAAAATTTCCCTAAGTACTGCTTTGGCTGTATCCCATAAATTTTAGTATGTTGTCTCATTGTTATTCTCTTTATTGAAATTATTTATTGTTTCTATGATTTGTTCTTTGACCCACTCATTCTTTAGGATAAGATTATTTAGTTTTCAATTAATTTTTATTCTATGTTTTCACAGTCCCTTATTGAATGTATTTTAATTGGATCATGGTCTGAAAAGGATGCATTTAATATTTCTGATTTTCTACATTTGTTTGTGAGGTTTTTATGCTCTAATGGTCAATTTTTGTGAAAGTTGCTGTGTATAGCTGAGAAAAAGGTATACTCCTTTCTATTCCAATTCCACTTTTCTCTGGAGGTCTATCATAGCTGACTTTTTTTTTTTTGGTTTGTTTAGGCAGTTGGGGTTAAGTGACTTGCCCAGGGTCACACAACTAGTAAGTGTCAAGTGTTTGATCTAAGGCCAGGTTTGAACTCAGAACCTCCTGACTTCAGGGCCGGTACCCTCTACTGTGCCACCTAGCTGCCTTTTTCTAAAATTATATTCATCTCCTTAATTTCTTTCTTGTTTATTTTATAATTAGATTTATCTAGTTCTGAGAGGAGAAATTTGAGGTCCCCTAGTAGTATAGTTTTATTGTCCATGTCTTCCTTTAACTTTTCCTTTAAGATTTGGTGCATATATGTTTATTATTAGTATTACTTCATTGTCTATGGTAACTTTTAGCAAAATATAATTTCCTTGCTTATCTCTTTTAATTAGATCTAATTTTGCTTTTGCTTTGTCTGAGATCATGATTGGTACCCCTGCTTTTTTTTTTAACCTTAGCCAAATCCCCCTTATTTTTACCCTGTTGTGTGTCTCTCTGTTTCAAGTGTGTTTCTTGTAAACAACATATTGTTGGATTCTGGTTTTTAAATCCATTATGCCCTCCATTTCCATTTTATGGGTGAGTTCATTCCATTCTCATTCTCAGTTATGATAATTAAGTTTTCCCCTTCATCCATTTCTCCCCCTGTTTATCCTTCTATCTCTTTTTCTTTTTCACCTTGTCCCTCCTCAAAAGTCTGTTTTGCTTCTGACCACTACCTCCCTTAATTCACCCCTCCCTCTATCAGCACCCCCTCCTTTCCTGCTTCCTTGTAGGGTATGATAGATTTCTATACCCAACTGAGTGTATATGTTATTCCCTCTTTGAGCCAATTCTGATGAGACTATGGTTCAAGTGCTTCCCCTCACCTTCCTCACTTCCCCTCCATTATAAAAGCTTCCTTTCATACCTCCTTTATGTGACATAATTTTTCCAATTGTTCCTTTCTTTTCCCCCTTTTTTCAGTGCATCCTTCTTTCTCACCCCTTATTTTTATATGTTGAAATCATCTCATCATTGTCATCTCACACCCATGCCCTCTGTCTATGTATATGCCTTCTAACCTGCTCTACTAGTTACAATTATTCTCTTCCCATCTAGGAATGTAAACATTTTAACCTTATTGATTCCCTTTTGATTTCTCTTTCATGTTTACCTTTTCAATGCTTCTCTTGAATCTTGTATTTGAAAGTCAAATTTTCTATTCAGCTCTGGTCTTTTCATCAGGAATGCTTGAAAGTCCTCTACTTCATTAAATATCTGTTTTTTCCCCTGAAGGATTATATTCAGTTTTGCTAGATAGGTTATTTTTGTTTGTGATCCTAATTCCTTTACCTTCCATAATTTCATATTCCAAGCCTTCTGATTCTTCAATGTGGAAGCTGCTAAATCTTATGTGATCCTGACTGTGGCTCCACAGTATTTGAATGGTTTCTTTTTGGCTGCTTGCAATATTTTCTCCTTGACCTTGGAACTCTGGAATTTGGCTATAAATATTCCTGGGAGTTTTCATTTTGGGATCTCTTCTAGGAGGTGATAGGTGGATTCTTTCAATTTCTATTTTACCTTCTGGTTTTAGGATATCAGGGCAGTTTTCCTTAGGCTCTTTTTTTAAAATCATGACTTTCAGGTAGTCCAATAATTCTTAAATTATCTCTCTTTGGTCTATTTTCTAGGTCAGTTGTTTTTCCAATGAGATATTTCACATTTTT